TCAAGGTCTTACTCTTTCCAGCATTCTTTAGGCAAGGGTCTACCTATCTCAGAAACCATTTCACTCTTCAGGCCATGATAACACTGCCATCAGTGGGGATGTTTCCACTTGACACAGTCCACATTGAAACTTGGGAACCCAGAATTTACTCAGTGGAAGGCTGTCTGCTGCAGGAGACAAGGATGAACCTAATCTTGCTACTTTTAGAGAAAAAATGTAAGATTTCTCACCTTCTTGTAGACCTTCCCTCAATAAGAGTTATCACAGGGTAGTATCGTGAAATCTCTCTTGGATATAAACAGTAGCATATGGGTATAAAAAATGCCATTGACTGTCCATGGGATCTTTGATCCTAAATCCCTTTAGAAAATAAGATTTAGGCTCCTACATCAGTTATCTATCATTGATCACCACAGTGCCTAAATACTTTTAAAAATTTGGGCCACAGCATCTTAGAAATGCATAGAGAGATTTGTGAGTAAATCTCAATGAAGTAGTTTGAATATATGGTTTGATCGACACAAAATTGTAACATTAGGTTTCAGTAGCTTCCCCCTAGTGTAAAACATAAATAATGTATGTAGCTATAATCTTTCTTGTGTCTAACTTTACTTCAAGTCTTTATGACAACAAAGTTAGCAAAATTAAGCCTTGCAGCATTAAAGTCAAGGGGAATTTTGTCATTGACTTACTTATATGGGATTATGATCAGGTCCCCAGTGAAGAAAGGCTACTACTGTGGCTCAGATTTTACTCTGGTAGTAATTTTAAGTGTTTCATTTTAACTTCATTATTAGAAAGCAGTTTAATAAGGACATTTTTCAAATGAATAGTTTGTGTCATATTTAGAAGTATTTTTGGCAGCAGGGGATGGTTTGATGGGATCTTTGACTATTAGCGGTAAATAGGCCCAATGGCCTGTGATGGGACACTAGATAGGGTGGGATCTGAGTTACTACAGAGAGTTCTTTCCTGGGTGTCTGGCTGGTGAGTCTTGCCCACATGCTCAGGGTTTAGCTGATCACCATATTTGGGGTCGAGAAGGAATTATCCTTCAGGGCAGATTGGCAGAGGCCCTGGGGGGTTTTCGCCTTCCTCTGCAGCGTGGGGCACGGGTCACTTGCTGGAGGATTCTCTACACCTTGAAGTCTTTAAACCACACGTTGAGGACTTCAGTAGCTCAGATATAGGTCAGGGTTTGTTACAGGCGTGAGTGGGTGAGATTCTGTGGTCTGCGTTGTTCAGGAAGTCAGACTATAAGATCATAATGGTCCTTTCGGACCTTAAAGTCTATGAGCACCCACCTATATTTACTATAGAGTTCATTTTGTTTTAAACGTTTTGACAATGCCATTATATGTGGTTACCAGTAAGTGCAACATAGTGAAAAACAAAATATTTAAATATCATTTATTCCTTCACTTTTACTTGTAGAGTCCCAAGTTCAGGGATTCCTATTTTTATTTCACCCAAAAATAAGACAAATGTAGTAGAAAGATAATAATATAGGGCAAGAGAGTGATGAATTGGCTACTGATTTAGGAGAACCAGAAGTGAAAACCTGAAAGTGGCAAAGGGAAAATTTTTAATTGCAATGGTGAGTTCAAGCCAAAGGAATATGTTATCAAAGTCTGTAGTTGAGCTACCATTACTAATGTTGCTCAAGAAGAGTTAAAAAAACCTTTTTAAATTCCTTTTAAAAAAAAAACCTCTCTTATAATAAAAAAATAAAAAAATAAAAAAACCTTCTGTCACCTAACAAAAATAAAAATAAGAAGAAAAAATATTTTTTAAAAAAGGGAGGGGGGGAAAAAAAAAAGGGTTTTTTTTTTTGTTTTTTTTTTAAAAAGAAAAAAAAGAAAGGGATTTAAAATTTTATTAAGTATTTATAGGTATGTGTTAGATTATGATTTTTTTAAATGGCTGAGAAAGAATTGTGCTGAATAGAAAACTATTTCTGTCTGTAACTTTGACTTAAGGTTTTGCCGAGGGGTCTCATGTTTTGAATCTAATTACCCTGTAAGAATCTACCATCCTGATTTTCAGGGGGATTTCTTATTTCTATTTACTTCTATTTTTTTATTAAGTCTTCTTGTAACTGAAGCTTTTTCATTGTTCTCAGATCCAAGGTTTGGGCTGGGTCACCTATCAAATTGGGAGGCTTTTTCCAACATTTCCCAGGAAGGGGGGCAAGTGTTGGGAGGATTGTTCATTGTTCTTAAGATCCAAGGGCTGGGCTGTAGCACCTACAAATTGTGAGTTTTCCAAACCTTGTCCAGGAAGTGGGGTCAAGGTTTTGGGAGATTTGGGGGACGACGCGTCCAACACTCTTCCCCAGAACCATTTTGTAGCCTATTCCCACGAAAAAACAGGAGTTTGCAGCCCCACACCCCAACGAGTGGGGGGGACAAGAGTTAAGATAAAATATTTAATAAATTGGTATACAAAATGATCCTGCATTGGACTAGATGATCTAGGAGGCCCTTTCTAACTGGATACTCTGTAAATTTCTGAAAACTTGATGAGACCACAAAACACCTGTGAAAGTATGCATGGAGCTTCTGTCCTGTGCCCCTCTCCCCCCATTTTTAGAGGCATTCGAAAATCACTACCTATTCAAAACCCAAATTCTTTATTTCAAAAATCAGTTAAGGTTGTTAAGTGACAATAATGTAGTTACCTACTATATTTACAAAACCCAGCACTTGAAAACAAGAAATGAATTAGTCCAGATATGATGACCACATAATGAGCAACCACATTTGTATCGAATATAAAGAAAGGGCTTTTTGATGTGGAATGCAGGCGAAAGAGTAATTTTACCACATCCTGGAATTTTCTTTTGAAAAGTAGTCCTGGATGGGTGAGAAGTCAACAATAAAAATATTCTCCATCTCTATGGGTGGTTTTCCCACTCTGGCAGTTTCACTATTGCCATTTTCAAATAATGGCAATTTCTGAAGGTTGTTTTTTTAAAAAAAATTCTGGACCTTTAATAATACTGCCTCTTGTACCAGCCAATATCAAAACCTACCACTGCTTAAAATTGTGAAATAGTGTGATTTTGTTGGAAAGAGCAAAGGACACAAGGAAACATTGGACACTTTGCAAACAAAATAAAACAAACTCTGTTGTCAATGAAACTTTAAATCATATCCTAAATTTGAAAGCATGGGGATTTTAAGTTTTCTTCATTTTGGGGTATGTTGCTTTTTTTTTTTAAGTTATATGGGAGATTAAAATCAGCCTTATTATGGGATTATGACTGCAACTTTTACTAGCTATCACCAGTAAAACAACAGACACTATCAGAGCTGCAGGCTTCTAGAATTTTGCTTAAGGAAGATCTCTTACTTACTTCTTATAATGCCCAATACTGCACCCACTAAAATCAATATAAAAAACTCCCATTGCCATTGCCATCAGTGAGTGCAGGATTGAGCCCCAAACTGTCCACAAGAAACAGTAAAATTTTTTGCTTAATGACACCTTCTTGTTTTCAGTTATACTGAACATATTGGTTTTTAACTTTTTTATAGATAGTTTGAAGGAGGAGTAACAGGCCATTTTTGAGATAGAAATTGACAGAAACTTTAATCTAAAATTAAAGTTTTTAAATGGCTAATATTTTTATGACCTGTAAATGAAAACTAGTTTGAAGAATTTTCTCCAAATCTGTACAGAAATGTTTTCCTTTGCCTTAAGAGTAAATGTGACCACAGTCAGGTCAAATTGATTTTCCAAGCCAAAATTATAGCAGAAAGTGATTGCAACCTTAACAACAGAGAGGCTGCTGCATCTCCATAATACTTAGCACCTGGACTTAAGTTGATGTTACCACAGTAGGTCTGTCCTGGTTGAAAGAACCATAAGCTTGTCTCTCTCTCTCTCATTATAGGCTTACAAGTGTGGTGGACAGATAATTTGTTACTTAACGTGTTCGCATACAGCCTTACAAGCTATTATATACTCAGATTTTTCAGATTTCCATTCACTGGTTAAGCTCTTTTTTTAAGATGAGTTGAGTCACTACTGTGAGTGATTTTCCATACTGAACCAGTTAAGAAAATAAAAATATGTACGAGTATTATTTGTCATGTTCTTATTTTAGTACAAATTATCTATTTGTGGTTTGTTATGGATATTTTACATAACTAGCTTCCGGATACCTGGAACTGTCTTCCACTAAAAACATGTAAGGTTATATGGTCAACAGACTGCCACATTATTTAAACTAAGCCTTTGGAACTTGGAAACAATAAATACTACTTACTAATCCTTATATAACATTGTTGTGTGTTTAAAGAATTTTACAAATATCAGTAATCCTCACAATAACCCTGTGAAATAAATGACTATTATTAGCAATAAAACATAGGGCCCAATCCCCAACAGGTGTATCTCCATAATTAAACTATGCCAGTCTACATAAGAGGGGTTTTGGCTCAGTCTAGAATGAAAGTTTCCAAATTCTGAATTATGGAACACTTGCTGGTGATCCATGGAGAGCTGCCCCCCGCCCCCCTTCGTATTTCCAACTGCTAAATTGCATTAAAAGAAGGTGCAACATTTTTAAAAAACCCTTTGCCAATATTACTTTTTCCCATGTTTAATTGCTGTAGATGCTACAGAGATATTATGGAATGCAAAGGGGTGGGCAAGAGGTGGTCTTCAAAATTAAGAGTGGGAAAGCATATGGTCTAATACAATACCTGTATTAAAATGTGATCTGTACTATTAGGAACCCATGATCCAGAACACATTCCTGTTTCTTGTGCTGTGCCCCCGGCATCTGCTTTTCTACCAGCATTTTACTACCTATTCCTAAAAAGCTACAGAGTGGTTTGGTCTTTACAAAATATCCACTGTGTGCAATATTGTCTTTACTGGATGACTTACCTAATGGATTGATTAAATCTGTACTAAAATATCCTATGAAGTCAAATTGTGCCATACAACTCATTTAGGTAACTCATTATTTCCTGGATCTTATCTTTCAGAAAACACACCTGAGAAGTATTTGTCTCTACTGCCAGCAGTATCTTATTCTGAAGAGACATTTTCTCAGCTTTTTAAATAATGCAACTGGAATAACCATCTTCATTCTTTGGTAATTATAATTTTAAAAAACAAAACTAGTAAATAAATAATTATTTGTAATTGCGCAGTATCTTTCTCCCAATGATCTCCAGTCACTTTACAAAGCTGGATTCCCCAGGGGTCCGTTCCCCAATCTCCGCCCCCTGCTGCCCCAGTGCTTTGTGCTCCACATCCCTTCTGCCCATTGCCCCACTATGTGCCCTGCATGCTCACTCCCCACCCCCTTTTTGGGTCAAGTCTCCCTAATAGGGGCTGTCTTGTCCCTTCCCAACAGTACCTTCCTCCATCTCATTGGGAAGAGGGCTGGTGAGTGTCCTCTGTCCTCTCATTGCTCCAGGTTCGTTTGGAGGGAATTCTTCCTCTCCTTTCCTGTAAGTGTAGACAATAGGAAGGAAGCTGGATTCTTTCCTCTGGATCCACCTGCTGTTTGAATTGGGTGCCACCTCTGCCTTTCAGTTTGTTAGCCCCTAAGGAGGGTGAGAGAAGAACGCTAAATCTGCCACTGCTGCACACAAAATCAGCAGAAGGGCTGGAACTGGCCTGCCCTTACCTCCCCTGTGCCACAGGCTCAAAGACATTATTGCTCCCTCCTGCTTGGGAGTTTGAGGGAAACGTCCCACTCTTTTCCCCCAAAAGAATCCTCCAGTGGTTGCATCTATGATTGAGGCCTTCATTTTCAAAAACGTCCACCAAGTTTGGGGTGCCAAACTTGAGACTCTAGATCCACAGGAGGAACTAAGGGTTTGTCTACATGGCAAGTTAGCAAGGCAGCAAGAATCTATAGTGCACCTATTTGCCACACAGTCATGTCCAGGGCAGTGAAAGTGTTAGAGTGCAGCTTAATGTATTAGACTTTCAAGTAGTAGTAAACCAAGTGCACTCTGGGACTTTCACTGAGCTGTAAGTGACCACATGGGATGTTACTGCACGGCAAGCTGGTGCACTGTAGATTCACAACGTGGCTTGGCGCACAGTAAATTGCTATGTAGACAAGCCCTTAGATTCAGCATTGGAGTGCTTAACATTTAGGAACCCTGTCACATAGCAGCAGCCACAGCTCCAATTAGGTGTCCAGACTCTCTGCACAATGCATGAAGCGAGTTAGGTGCCTAAGAATAGGATTCACAGAAGCCGGCAGCAGGTGAAGATGGTGGTGCTGTCAGCCCTCTTATATCTTATAGCCCCATTGTGTAGAGCAGTCATCTAGGATGAGGGAGACTTGGGGTCTCCTCCTCAGACCAGTGAAAGTGTGTGTGGATGGTGTACGTGCACTCATCCGAAACACTTCTGTGAAGGGTCTTTTTTAAAAAAAAAATTCTATCAGCTGTTTGACCTATTGGACATTTGGAATATTAGTTGTCGTTCTGGTGGAATCCAGGTGAGACAATCAAAGGTGCGCGACAAAGGCAAACTATCATACAGCTTTGCAGTCACTCACAATATTATCACCAAAACGTGTTTATGTGTATGACTGGGAACCATGTGATAAATTAGAGGGCTATAAGATAATCTACACACGAAGGTAAAATTGAACAAGCAGGTTATATATATGTACTTATCACATGCCTGTGACTACATTACCTGCCCACTGATCAATCTCTGTGATTATATTTGACTATTTCAAACCATTGAGTGGCTTAAAACAACTGCCATTTATTTTAAAATCAACCAGCCAAATAAATATTTCCTCCTTCTCTCCCAATATTACCTGTATTGCTGTAATACCTAGAGGCCGCCAATTAAAGAATAAGAGTGAGGCACACATAACAAACAGTCCCTGTTCCTAAGTTCTTACAATCTAATGTGGAAGGAATTCTTCCCTGCGGTTCAAGATGGGCAAGATTCAGTCCTGAGCCAGTGACAGCTTTTGATACATCAAGAGTTACAGTTTAAAAATCCAGTAGCCCACACCTTCACAGGGCTAAAAACAGGCACTGTACTATTTGGAAGAAGAAATTCCTTCCTCAGTGGGACTCGGAGCTTGAATCTAGCCTTGTACGAGGCTGAGCTGTAAGACTTCAAATTTGTGACATTTTTATATCTAGGAAGAACAATTTTAGGTATTTTACTTTACATAGTTTTAACCTCTCACTCTGGGCCCCGTGGAGCTGGACCCTCTTTAAAGTTGGTAACATTAATTTTTCAGTAATATATATGGGCATATGCAAGATGATGTGGGATAAACATTTTATCAACAGGAGATAAAATGATGTTTAGTATAATTTACTGGTGGCTTTCCACTTCTGAGTAAGGGAATCATCCCAGACTCCTGCTGATTAAAACCCACATACCAGTACGTACCATCAGTATTCCCTATATATTTCATGGTTCCACACTTTATCAGAGGGCTTCACAGTCTGTCACATACGCCTGCATATGTGGCGTATATGTAATATGATACTGCTTTTCTGCCAACCACTCTTCGTTACATTATTATCTTCAGAAAAGATGTGTGTATGTTACTAAATATTCTAATTGTTTTTGTGGTTGTTTTGTTTTAGCTGCATCAGTGCATATCTACCAAGAATAGAAGCTGAAAGAAGAAGGTGGGAGGCGGTTATAGAAGATTTGCATATGATTAAAGGCATAACTGATGTAAGTTCACAAAGCATTAATGTTTCATAGAATCATTTGGGTAGGAAGAGACCTGGAGTTGGTTGTCTAGCCGAGTGCTTAAATAATAAGTAAGTGGGGGGAGAAGGGAGGGGAAGAAGAGTACTCATGTAATGTTGTAGCACAGGAATAAGCAGGGGAGTAGATAACAATATGTGACACTTAGAGTGGACTCTGCATTACAGCCCCTTAAATTAAGCGTTTTCGTCTTCAATTTTTATTTCTTTCAGTGATCTACTTTAATCTCTGCAGTATTTGTTCTTAGTCAGATAAAACAAGAAAAGAGTTTTTCTGAAGAGAAGAATTGGGAGTAGGCTTCTTCTGAGAAAGTACTGCTAGAACTCAGTTACAGAAATGTGCTTCTTACTTTGAGCCTCATGCTGTGAGGTGCTGGGGAATCTCATGCTTACAAGGGCCTCATGCTGTGAGGTGCTGGGGAATATCAATGTCCACTGACTTCAGTGATCTCCAGCATCTTGCAGGATTGACCCTTTGAGCACTGAGCTAGGCCATTCCCCTGGTAGGATTGACTTTATTATCCCTAAACTCAAGAATTATTGTTTATATATCCAAATCTGTTTTCTTTTAGACCATTGATGCCTGTTTATACACTGCATATATAGACAAGCCAGTAAGTACATTTTGTAAATTTGACCTAGACTGGTCTAAGGGTGATATCCTTATTTCTTCTGAAGTAACCAGCTAAAGGCAATTGATGTTTAATTTGATCAAAGCTTCTGAAACCAAATCATTTGCATTCAAAATAAGTTCCCATTCTTTATGTGTATTAATCGGGATGACTATAAGCAGATATGGCTACTGAATCATTGGCTATAGAAGTTTGTCAATTAAAAAGGCTATAGAAGTTTGTCAATTGACAAAATGATTTTTATCAAAAGGAAGAACTTTCCTTTTTGTCAAAAGAAAACATGATTCTCCAACATTGTGCACTTTGCTAGAGCATTCTAAAATAGTGTTAAGATCTAAACTGCATAGGCATTCACCTTCAGATAGTTTCTAACTGGAAGAATGGCAAAGCTAGGGATAACTACCTTATACAGTTATTTCAGTTTAGGTGATATAATTTATATCACAATCATCAGAGAGGTCATGTAGCCAATCTAATTTTAAAATGATCTCCTCAATGCAGCTTCTGCACTCTCCTAGGAAGACTGTTCCACAGCCTAATATATGTTACTGTCAGGAAGGTTTTCTTGATAGCTAAAACTTTTAGTTTTTTTGAAGAGAGAGGCAATATAGCCCATGGACAAGGCATGGCTTTGGGAATCAGAACACCTGGGTTCTGTTCCTGGCTCTATCACTGACCTGCTGTGGTACCTGAGGCAAAATCAATCCATCTCTGTTTCTCCATCTGTAAAATAGGGATAGCGATACTCCCTTTTAAAAAAAATTGTTTGAGAGTTATGGATGGGAATTGCTATCAGAGCTAAGTATTATTAATAATAACTTGATCTTATTATTCTTAATTATACCCCAAAGTATATCCTAATTAATTCCCATCCTATCTTGGTATTTACATTGTTCACCAAGCCTGTTATGTCCTGACCCACCTTTAAATGTAATTTAACCAAGCTACACATTAATTCTCATGATCAGTGTAGATATTTACAAACATTTGCATGGCAAAACAAATACACAGTAGATCAAAATCAGCTGTGGGTTTGCAAAATTTTATGCCACATGTGGACCTCTTTCTTTAATTTTTTTATTGTAAAGCCACTGACATTTTTCATTTTTAGGATGAGTGTGAAGTACAAGTGATGGAATGCTTTTTGTTAGAGTTGAAAGTGATTTCCCAGGAATGTGAAATCAGAAAAGGATGTAAAATCAAACAGTATATACGCAACGTGCTGGCAAATGTAAAAGCAAATTTACCAAAGAACACGAGTTTACCAAACAGTCCGGTAAGTGCCATCTACAATCAATGGAAAGAGAACAATCCAAAAAAAGCGCCTTTAATGGCTTGAGATAAATTTTGCTGTCAGATATGCATGACGGGAGCGTGAATGGCAGTCACCCACTCACACACTGATTTACACAGACAGAATTTAGCTCTTCTCAGAATAAAGTTTTCTAGAATATTAGCAAAACAAGTACTTCAGAGGGTGCATCTAGTGTGTATGCAGGTGTAAACTGGTATCCCATGGCCAACATTTTCAAACTGAAGTTCATAGAGTGGACCATATTTAGACACCTAAAGACATATCCCCTGGTTTTCAAAGGGCCTGAACACCTGCATCTCCCACTGAAGTCACTGGCAGCTCTGCAAGCTCATGTTTAAAAATCAGGCCACTTACATTTCAGTACTTAGGTTCCTTGGCAGCCTCCAGCAGGGCTCCTGTGGCAAGATTTGGCTCTCTATCAAAACCAATTCAACTATCCCCAGTTTTAATATCAAACCAATTTTTACTCAAAGAATTGTCATTTTTCTATTCTTTTGTTTCCTTTTTTATTTATTTATTTTGCAGAACAGGAATAAAATAACATGCAAACAATGTGAAGAGTACGAAGAAGGGAATTTTACCTACTTTATAGAGACTTTTGAAGAGTTTGCAAAACACAAGCTGAAATTTTTACTGCACGTTTCTAAATAGGCTTCCTTTTTGAAAGTGCTTTAGGGAAACTCCATCAACTTTTCTGGCACTTCAAGCAATATAATCACTGGATGGACGGACAGACAGACTGGTTGGCTAGAACTTTGTAAGACAGAAAGGCAGAAAAAACCAAACACAGCCAAGAATAATCTGAACTATGAACTGTGCCACAGACTATTTTATCTTTTTATTTTTAATTTACTACTTCCTCTGGGAAGCTATTAAAATGTAAACTTATGTGTATTTTATAAACATTTTAGATAAATATTTGCTCTTTGCATGTCTCAGTAATTGACTACTACTTAGAAAACATAGTAACTTGTACCGCAAATATTTTATTTTCCAGGAAAGCTAAACTGGTGTAACTGAGAATATATAAAGAAAAGGAGTACTTGTGGCTACAGCTCACGAAAGCTCATGCTCAAATAAATTGGTTAGTCTCTAAGGTGCCACAAGTCCTCCTTTTCCTTTTGCGAAGACAGACTAACACGGCTGCTACTCTGAAACCTGAGAATATATATATTCTCATTTTATATATATAAAAATCACTAACCAGTATGTGTTTGGAGTCCTCCTCTGTGCCCAATCCCCACAGGATCAGAGTCTGTCACAGTCCCCAATTACAGAACCTGGCTTTTTAGCTCAGGCTGTACAGTCTCATGCTTTAATCTCTGGAGAGCCCTATTTCAGTTCCCTGCTGAGACCCAGATAGCAATCACCACATGTGTAAAGTCATGGGAAACAGAGGCGCACATAGCTCTGACCGTAATAAACAGGGTTCTGATCCTGCAAGTTGCCCCCTGTGGACAGACCCCTGTGGCCAAGTAATACCCCACTGATTTCAGTGGGGCTCTACACAGTTGCAGCACTCTGCTTTCATAGGACAGCTCACAAAATCAGGGCCTACATGCGTGGAAACCAGAGTCTGGATTATCAGAAAAATGCTGGACTGAAAGAGGCAGTTGTAAATTGAAACTGTCTGAATCTGTCTGCTTTTTATAACTTTCACTGATGGAGTGAATAAAATGGATTCTCACGATGATGCAGTACAGTGAAAATGCAGTGATGGTAAAACATTTGAGTAATTGTTCTAACAGGAAACAGTCATCCCCATCAAGGAATAGAATGAAAAGATGAAGGGGATTGAAGTTACCAAAAGCTGATACTTAATATCACAAGCATCTACCCGAGTCAAATTTTAAGGCACTAGTAAGAGACTGGCAATAGACTGCCAAGCTAGTTGTGATTTCCTGCTCTCTCTTTTCTGGCTTTATTGAGTTTGAAGTGCAATGACATTCTGGACCAAATTCTGTTTGCCTTACCCAACTAATCCCATTGATTTAAATGAGATGAATGTGTGAGTAAAGCCAGCAGGATTCAGGTCTATATGTGCGCAGGCCAAAAAGTAAATTTTTTCCATTGTGCTATTTATATGTAGTGTGGGAAGATGTAACTAGAAATTAACTGTATAGCTCAAGAAATTAGTCGTGGCATATAGAGTTTTCCACCTGTAGGAGCCTGATTCTCTTTTGCATGCCCACCAAAAATTCCAATTCATCAGTCCCTGGTTAGCAATTAGAATCTGGCCAGGAGGTTGGAAATATGTGAAAGCTATTACCATCTGATGACTGTGCAGTGGTCTATATGAAATGAATTGGTGATTTTTCTCAGTCTAGTTCCTACTGAACAGATGTCTATCATAAAAATCCCTATAAAAATTGGCACTGTTTTGTCAGTCTTAACAGAAGGATTGATCACAGAATCTGTGCATTTCTAACAGGAGGGATGGCTACAGCAGGTTAGGAAGCCATTCTGGAAGTTACCTCATGGGAGTGGAAAGCCTGAGTAGTAGCAGAAAGGACATAGGCGTGGCTCAGTATTTGTCAAATTCGAAGATACTGCCAATTCTCTAAGAAACCCATCCAATTTCTGATGCAGCCAGTGCAAGTCTCCCCATTGATTTTAATAGGAGTTTGATCAGGCCCTTAGAGTTTAAAAATCAGCTAGACAAATTCAGACTAGAAATAAGATGTGACTTTTTAACAGTGAGGGTAGTTAACCATTGAACAACTTACCAAAGGTTGTGACGGCGTCTCCGTGAGTAGAAATCTTGAAATTAAGATACGCTCTAGTTCAAGCACAGCTTGAATTCATGGTTATCCTAAGGCTTGTGCTCGTCAGGAGGTCAGACTACATGATCACAATGGTCTCTTCTGGCCTTAAAGTATAAGAAAGTCACATGAGAAATGGATTATATGTGAGTCAAATATATTTTTAGTGTAATATTGTTAATTCACCAAGTCCTGTTTCCCTGAACAAGAAACAAACTACAGCAAGCAGTTTCCTTACTCAAGTCTGCCACTCCAGTGAGCTCAATACCCAAGAAGCCCTGTCTCTAGCCTCTGGGGGTCACGCTGACCACTCCTTCTCCAGGCTCCCTCTCCCGCCGAAGACACAGGCTACAACTGAATCTCCACCCTCTGCATTTGCAACCAGGGAAATCCCCCAGTCCACATGGCTTAGCTCTGACCTACCACATGGTCTAGTTCCTTTGGCAGTAGCACCCCCAGCTCCCGCAGCTGTTTTTATGACATAAAGAGACTTAACTGTGCCTTCCCTTGAGCTTGAAAAAGAATACTTGGCACAGCCATTGGCTTAACAAGGTTTGTGATTGGCTTTGGATCCAAGACCATCCTCTACTCCCGATGGCAGCCATTAACATCTTTCAGCAGAACCAGAGATTAGGTGGCTCTGAGTTTCCACTTTACGCCAGGTCGATACAAACGTTACTATGTTTGTTTAAAACTGGTGAGACTGAATGGAGAATTAAGCCCACTATTTTCTCCAGTGCCAACATTTAGATGCTATATTATTCTGTATGGGATTGTGAATCTTCTGTCAAATAAACATATACATAATGTTTGGGGTGGAAATTATTTGTTGTGCAATAGATCAGCCTACAGCACAAATGTATTTTTATTTCATAATATGCTTGTTCTATCTTCACAGAAGTGTATGCTATTGTTTTGTTTGCTTTGCCCAGATGGCAAATGTGCCATTAAGTTTATCTGGCCTAAATTCATTCTATTTTTATAGTAACAAAAATCCTCTTTTGACAAGGAAGATGTACACCGTATTTATGAATAAATATAGACAGCCTTTATAGACAATGGATATATTAACATTACACTGTGTGAACAACTCATGTTGGAGAAAATGAAATGTTTTCAATCTAATATGTGGTCTCCATGTCCCAGGATTTATTAAATGGTGATAACCATAGTCATGGTAGGAAAAATTAGATTAAAACAGGGAAAGAAATCAATGTATATCTTCTAGCATGGAACCTAATACAATCAAATTTTTCCCATGGTCCTGGAAAATGCATAATATGTTGCTAAAGAAAAATGGAATTTACCATAATTGATACTCCTGGATTCTTGTGCAGTATTTATAAATTAAGATAACTAATTCCAGTCATGAAGCAAATACTTAATGTCTTTTGCTATAGATTATACAGTGCACAATCCTACTGGCACATAATTTGTGTGAACAGTATTCCTGAGTAAAGTCCAAATGTTATCATCTTGTCAGCGCAAGCAGTGTCATAAGTTTCCATTTTCCACTGGTGCTATGGGGACACTTGAATTTACATCAGCATTTATAAACCATTTGTTGTAGCAAAAAACACCAGCCACTGCGTTAGAGACCATGGACTGATTGCTGTGTATCCAGCTCATGAGAAATAAAAGGTTTTGTTTGATTTACAAAGTGTTGTGTATTATTTGTTCTGAATAATACACCTGAACAGGGACTTGAGTGAACAAGTGGTGAAGGAAAAAAAGACTATGGGATCTGGTGCCAAAACATTTTACATACACATCTTGGGTCTTCTTACTATCACATATGGGGGGAGGGGGAAACGAGAGAGAGAGAGAAGCTTGAAAATGGCCTGGAAAAGGTCCAGGAATCACCCAAATAAGCAATTTTAACTTATTCTCCAAAGGCATGTTTTCACTTGAAACATGGTGTGGGTTTGCTGTATCCATGTTACGTGAACTGCAACAAGTGGTGTGCAAACAGTATGTACACACCACATTGTTATCCCACAGTTAAGGTAGTTTTGCCTCAAATCATTGCTGCCATACAGCACAGTGCTGTTGAGAGAAGTGTTCAGACATCCCATGGTGCATTGCTCCACTGTTGTGCTGTATTTGGGGATTTTTCATGCTATGCATTGTGGACCTCCTGGACAGCAATGAAGTTCTGGGACTTGAGGTCAAACTAAATAATTCTCTGATTCCTCTCATTTTATCCTATCATCCTTCTGGCTCCTTGCAATCCAGTGCCATTTTCAAAGTGCTGTCAGGCTGCATGGAGGAAGCATCGGTGAGCAATGCAATTCTCATGGTAGTGAATGTCAATAAGTTGCTGCAAGCATATCTAAATTAATCCAGCACAAGAGCACTAATGGCCCCTGAGGAGGAGGAGACACTTCTCCTTGAACTGTTCCTGAAATGCTCCTTTTGGGTTTACCCAATTAGCACTGACAGGTGGGACAGAATAGTGCTGTAGACCTGCGATGACCAACGGTGGTGGCAGAACTTCAGGATGTCACAAACGCCTTTTCCAAGAAATCTGTGCAGAGTTCACACTGCAGCTTCAGTGGTGGAACCTATGTGAGAGCTGCCCTCCATATGGGTGGCCAGTGCCATCTGGAAGCTCACCTCCTCCATTTGCTATTGTAACTAACCAGTTTGGTGGCTGTAGATCAACTCTTGGGGAAATTGTGATGGAGGTGTGTGCTGCTATTAAGAAATTGCTTTTCTCCAGGGTCATAAGGCTGGGCAACTCACAGGAGGTTATTAATGGGTTTGCAAACACTTGGTTCCCAAACTGTATTGGGGTCGCTGGCGGGACCCATGTGCCTATCTGTAAGTATTTTAAAAGAATCTAAGCAATACTTGACTAATCTTTGTTTTGAAAGATTTCATGCTGCTTTTTCTGAGCCTATGATCTTAGACAGGCCATTGTTACTCATCACCTTTTCATCTTTTTTTAATTTTCCCACCTATTGCTCTAGATTTAACAGAACTCTTAGATTCATGGCACCAAAAAAAAAAAAAGAGTGATGGGGGAAAAATATTTCCCCCTGTCTTGTATACAAGTCTGTCAGTAGAGTTCTACAGTACCAAATAGAGATGTTTTTACCTTGTATGCTTGTTGTATTCACCTTCTGATATACTTAGATTGTAAGCTGTTCAGGGCAGGGACACTATTTTTGTTATGTTATGTTACATATATGTTATGTTATATATATGTTACACTATTTTTGTTTGTTATGTTACATATATGCCATGCTGTGCCTCCCCTCCAGGGCCGGCTCTAGGTTTTTTGCCGCCCCAAGCTCCGAGAGCGCAACTGCCCAAGCAAGAAAAGAAAAGAAAAAAGGATGGCCAGAAGAACGCCGCCCCTGGAATTGTGCCGTCCCAAGTATGTGCTTGCTTTGCTGGTGCCTAGAGCCGGCCCTGCTCCCCTCCCCTCCCTAGACCCCAAGCTGCCTGGGAAAAGCTGCAGCATGACAGAGTCTCTTCCCGAAGAAGAACCTGAGCTTTTGATATGCCCCATGCAGGGTCCAGGGCGGCTGAGGCAGCGGAGTCTGCTGCTCAGCTTCCTGGGTTCATCAATAATCTCTGGAGTCCAGGGAGATTACTGATGAACCCAGGATGCTGAATAGCACAGACCGCCTCCTCAGCCACCCCAGAACCTGCATGGGGCATAATAAAGCAAAAACTTCCCTGCCACACCCGCAACCGGGTGTCCAGTGACAGTGGCAGCGCCCAGGGAGGCAGAGCCTCCTCTCACCTATTATACCGGCCACCCACGCGTCTGTGGCTCAGAGCCCGGATACCAGCAGCATGCTCACAATGGCTTCACCCTGGCTTCCAGCAGCCTGTTTACTCCTTGCATAGTGACATCAACACCCTCCCAGTCCCGAGTTCTCCCCAAAAGTCTCCCTCTGCAGTGGTCAGCCCCTCTGACTATAGCACCCACAAAACCTTATAAAGTTTGCTGCTCCCTTAAAGAGACAGTACACAGCATCAGCCTCTTAGTTTGGCTGAGGATTTTACTCTTCAGTTTGAAACATTGCACAGAGATGGTTGTGTTATAAAGCAAGATTAAGGTTATTAACAGTGAACAGATATTTAAGTGGTGTCAAGCAGAAATCATTTGGATAGAAATGGTTACAAACAAAACAAAAAAATAAAAATACATTTTAATACTAATGTCTATCTTGAACTCTAGTTTAAGTTAGACAGTAGTATTAAAATGTATTTTTATAGTCTTTTATAGTCTTAAAGCAAGTTTCTCACCTATATTCAATTTTCCAAAGTTCAAATTTCCTGGAGCTACCAGGAGTGGTAAGTGGCCATCCATCCCCAGTCTCATTTGCCTGAAGGTTTTGTCTACTTTGCACAGAAATGTAATCTCATTGTCTCTCCTTGCTCTACTTACACTGGAGACACATTCAAACAGGCAGAACCATATTCCTTTGTCTAAGACGGGATGACTTAAGCCCTGGCTGCCAAAGAGCTTTTAAGAACCTATTTCCAGCACATATTTATAAGTCTTATAATACCATACACGCAGCACACAGTAAAACTGATGACCAGCACATTACCAGTTCACCTGATACCTTACATTGACACCTTCTCACAACAGTGAGTTGAGGTACACCAAGCTGATCAGGCCAGCTAAGATTCACTGCTAGATACCACAGAGTGCCCTCTGGCCTTGGAGTGTTCTTAGGGTCACAGTGTTACTGCAACAAAAAAGAATTTATAAAAAAACTTCCACAATTGTTTCTAATCGACTCTCTTGCTGGTGGTATATGAAGAAACCAAAGAGTGAATGAGTGATGGAACCTAAATAACCCTTCCACCTATAGAGTTGGTCCTGCCAGGACCCACTAGATGTGTAGGCTTAAGGAGGAAGTTTCTACCTAATATGATGTAAATATGATTATGGTGTAACAAGGTTCACTCACTACTATGGTGCCGTCCTGTGGCTGGGTCTGGGGATTAGCGCTTGCCCAATTTGGCATCCCCTTCTGTCAGTCACTCCATCACAGTAGTCGTCTCGCCTCCCATACTTCACAGCACCCCCCTCTTCATGACTCAGCCCTCTGGCTAGGTCACTATGTAGTCTTCCCCTCCTGGGGTATCAAAGTCCCTCTGGAGCAACTGTCTATACACCATCCCAGGCAGCCCTCTGTGCCAATTTCCAGTCTGTGCCACTTCCCAATGTCTGGTAGGGGAACCCAGGCCCACCTGCTACTCCAGGGTCCAGACCAGGGACTCTATCATCAGCAGCTAAGGGCTACACAGTCTAAACCCTGGCTGCTCTTGCCCTGGGTTTTTTCCTACTCTGCTTTCCACAAGCTTTCTTCCTCACAACTCTCTGGGTAAACCCCTTCTGTCAGGTATAGGATCCCAGGATTTTTGCTCCACAATGGGTTTCCTCCTACCCACCTCTCTGTGCCCAAAGAGCAAATGTAGACTCTTTCACTGTAGCCCCATTTCTGGTGAAAACTTCCTGGCTTTATACTACTTCTCCCCCCAGCTAGGCTTCATCAGCAATTAACCTTTATCAGGTCCTGGCTGTCCCCCAGGAACTGCCTATAAGGTGATCTGACCGTTTTTGAGTCACCTTAACCCCTTCAGGGCTGATGTTGGATGAACACCCCATCACATACGGTAACACCACTGTATTATAATATCTCAAAGGATTTTAGACAGTAGAAAAGCTAACTCTTCCATTATTACCAAGCCACTTTTGTGTCCTGGACCATTTTAAAGAAAGTCTCTCTTCAAATAATTGGGACCCAGGGACATATTTTGTATACCTAGCCACAATGAATAACACATCTGCAAGGAAAATGTCTGACGTCGCTTCAAACATATGTTCTGTCAACACTGTTACTGTGAAACCAGCATACTCTAGGAGATACTGGAGACATAACCTTGCAATTTATTATACTTTAAGAGGTGCAAAAATCTATTTAGGAAAAGTATTTGTGCTTCTTATTTTCTTTCTGCAATGTTCTTGATTTAATGTAGTTTGCAGAGTTTCAGGTCAAGTTATTTACTCTTGAAACCCAAGTTTATAATGGTAATACTGGAGATACCTTTAAGTGTAATTCTACAAATAATGATTTTTTTTAACCTTGCAACAATTATGTAGTTATTGATTTCCCCTTCCAAAGGGAACAGCTATTGAAGAAAACATGAAGAGACTTTGCACTGAAATAGTTTGTGTCTTTCCTATGCTTTAGGATGACAGCAATTGTGGGTACTGTGCAGACATCATTGTAAATTCAGTTTAATCACTAAGGATATGAGTATTTGATCTATACCCCCCAAAATATTTATCTATTTTGTCCTGCTTCCCAAGAAGAATAATTGGAATCTTCCACTTTTATGGTCTAAAAAAGAATCAGGATAAAACCAATTTGAAATGCCACACTGGTAATTAGCTGAAGAAAGTTGTGTCTACATTAGGTACATCCAAAAAGAGCAAGCACTTTGCTTAAAAATATTCATTATAAACTAGAAAAACCACAAAGAATGTTTAATATAACCCACCATTCCTGAACTGGGTTTCAAGAATTGTTCAGACAATATCTGGTATGTGCTTCTGGCAGTATTTATCCATACAGTTATGCAAGCTAGTTCATGTCTTAGAAAAAACAGTGCTGAAATA